TCATTGGTTCAAACCGGACTTGGAAGCTTAGGTAAATCAATTTAGTTCAAGTCAACATTAGAAGATCATGATAGTGATAAGAGTACAAGCACAAGACAACAATGCAAATGGATATTTAGTTTGTTTGTTTCAATTGGTATCTAGACTCAAGTATTTTATCAAAAATTCATAAGTGATGTCTAGATCAACTCACAAGTGATATCCTATAAGTGGTACTCATAAAGATAATAAAGGTTCAAGAATTGGTTTTTATTGATAAATCCAACAAGTGGTTCCATACTAGAAGATTCTTTCAAGTGGTATCACATCTACATATGGTATCAATCATACAAGATGATGGTTCCACAAGTGACCCTAAACTTTAAGTGATCATCAAATGAAGAATGCATCCCTCACCTACAAGAGCTCAAGTGTATCAAATGGATGACCCATGCTATCACATAGGGGGAGGTGTCACATAAATTGATATCAAGATCAAAGATCCTATGTGTGGTATCTCAAGAAGCCACACAAGATACAAGTGGTACAAGTGGTATATACAAGTGGTGTCATTCCAACAATCAAGTGATGTCCATAAAAAATACAAGATTCAAGCCTCAACCATCTACCCAAAATGCATACCTTTGCATCAATGAGAAATACACCATTTATGAAAATTGATGACAAAGGGGGAGAGATTGTACAAAGATATGAAAGCCTTGAGATTGAGATTGTACAAGAGAGATAAGATAAGATATGAAAGCTTTGGGAGAGATTGAGACAAAGAAGTAGAGGTTGGACATGGACATGGACAAAGAGGGAGCAACATTGAAGAAAAGAGATGGATCAAAATTCTTGGACAAGAGAAGCACACAAGTAGGGGGAGCAAGCTCATGAACTTTGATTGATTGCATTTGATATGTGCATATTCATGTGCTTGCTTGCATTGCATAAGTTCTTAAATTCAATATGCATGCTTGTGTGATGTATGCTAGTTGTAGAATTTGATTGATGAAATGAAAACTAGCATGCATAGGATGATAGCTAGACACTTGGTATGCTTTTCAAGTAATGCTAGTACCTTGCTTTTAATGATGATCTCACGAGATATCTAGTGCTTTTTATTTCCAAGTGTTATCTAGCTAACCATGGTGCTAAGGATGAATTTAAAGGTGCAACTCCGATTGGTATCACACTTCAAAGGTTTACTCTATACACCTTAGCATCATTTGGTAGTAATTACTCTCCCACAATTACAATCTATGCATATGTGCGAACTTCAAACCAAACACTCTAGCACATATGTAGGGAGAGCTAATACTACCATTTCTGGGTTTGTGGTACTTGTCCAAAATCATTTACACATGGTAAAATTGCTTGGGCAAGCAATATGAATCCAAAAGAGCTTAATTTCCATATCTTTGTAGAGTTGTCATCAATTACCAAAAAGGGGGAGATTGAAAGGTCCTTGTGTGGTTTTGATAATTGAGTGACAACCTAGGTGGACTAATTGTATTTATATGAGATACACAGGTGATTAGTCCACAGGTACATGTGTGTGAGCAACATATGCCATAAAGGTGAAAATAGCTTGGAGATGTTGCAAAGCTCATACATGTGATGATGAAGGAGCTCATTGCACATGAGACATGACATTGAGTCATGTGATAAAGGTGGAGAAGATTAAGACAAGACTTGGCTTAATGGACCGATTGCAAGTGTGAAGGGCAAGTTGGGTGATGGCTTGGCACCGATGGACCGAGGCAACGGTGAAGAGCAAGTGAGGTCAAGATCGATGAACCAATATGATCACGTGATGATATGAAGTGGATCATATCATTGTTGATCGTGTTGGTGCATGTGTTGCATCAACATTGAAGGAGATGGATTGGAATGCGTAAGGCAAAGGTATAACCTATGGCAATTCATTTCATTGGTCATAGGTGTGTAGAGAAGTTGATGACCGGGTTTATGATAGATGGCCGTACTATCAAGAGGGATAAACTTGTTTGCATATCGGTCATCTAGTGCCACTCGAATGATCTAACTTTGCATCGTCGCTAGGATCGAGTGGCATGGCAAGTTGAGTGGCTAATCCTTTGGAAAATGTTTATGAAAATCTAACACACATACACATGGTGGTGTACACTTGGTGGTGTTGGCATATTTACAAAGATGAAGAAGTTGGTGAAGAAAAGGAGTTAGTCACGCTGGTCACAGAGTGACCGGACACGTCCGGTATGGATACCGGATGCGTCCGATATGTGGCTTGGTACTGAATCTTAGAAAGCGACCGGCCGGTGTGAATCAGCGAAGTCGAAGTCCAATGAAACAGTTCATCGAAAGCTGGGAGCGTCTGGTTCGGAGTGACCGGACACGTCCGGTCGGACTGGGTGCTCACTGGACTCGACCGGACGCTGAGGCTCAGCATCCGATCAATTTCTAATGGTGCGTCCGGTCGACCATGGGAACTTACTGGACTCGACCGGACGATGTGGCTTAGCGTCCGGTCGTTTCAAATAGCGTGTCCGATAGGACATGTCACAGAGCCGTTGGAGGCAACGGCTAGTTTGAATGGGACACGTGGCGGTCAGGCAGCTATCGGACACGTCCGGTATGGCGACCGGACATGTCCGGTATACACGAATGGTGCGTCCGGTGCAAATGACCTACGCGCCCGGTTGTCCTGAAATTTATCCAGTGAAGGGGTAACGGCTAGTTTAGCCTGTGGGGCTATAAATAGAAGGGTGTCTCGGCCATGGTTGGTGCTGAGCACCTCGGGGGACTTTGTGTCCATGCTTGAGAGTGCTTAGGAGCCCTCCATCTCACATCTGCTTGATAGTGATCATTCGATTGTGTGAGAGAGCAATTCTAGTGCGATTGCATCGTGAGGTTGCATCAAATGGCACTAGGTGATCGAGTTGCAAGCCGGTGGTGCTTGTTACTCTTGGAGATTGCCACCTCCTAGACGGCTTGGTAGTGGTCTCCGTCGAAGCCCGCAAGAAGCTTGTGCGGAGCTCTGGAGAAGAGCTTTGTGAGGGGCATTGTGCTCGTCCCCGCGGGAGCCGCGAAGAGCAACTCTAGTAAAGCGTGCCATTGAGCTACCCTCACTTTCGGGGTAGGTTCTTGCGGGGCCCGACGTGCGGGCTTGACGGGTGATGCCAATTAGCCACCGAACCACCAAATGAGTGGTCGACACAATGGGGACTAGCGTGTTGACAAGCACGTGAACCTCGGGAGAAAAATCATCGTGTCAACTTTGTTCTTCCCGTTGGTTTGCATCCTCGTTACACAAGCTTATAATTATTTTCATATATATTGTGCTTATATAGTTGCTCTTGTAATTAGTTTGCTTGTATAGCTTACTAGTTACCTTCTTACTTGTGTAGCATAGAAGTAGCACCATTGCGTGGCTAATTTGGTTTGTATAACATTATTAGTCACATTGCTTAGTTTGTATAGCTAAGTATTTGTGCTCTCTAATTTAGCGTTGGTCGCCTTGTTATTGAGCATTGCTAGTGAGCTTAGGTGGCTTTGTGCTTTTGCTTACTAGCATGTGTAGGAGCTCCCTTGTTGCTTAAAGTACTAGTGGCATAGGTTTGTGTAACCTTGCTTTTAGAATTGGTTAGGTGAGCTCTAGCTAGCCCGGCACCTTTGTTGCTTAATTAGGATCTTTGCAAGGTGCTAGAGAACATAGTTGGAGGGGTGTAGTCTTGGCTAAACCGATAGTTTTAATTCCGCACTTGTTTCGGTTAGCCGACGCGATTAAGTTTTAGAAACGACTATTCACTCCCTCTCTAGTCGTCATCTCGACCTTACACCGGGGCTCCCGCCACCGCCAGCGCTACCAAGCCCGAACGAGCCAGGCCATTCTCGCTGGCCTAGGTAGCCCCCCTTGACAACGCCATTGCCAGCAATCTAGTATCTATCTATGACAAGGACGCTACGGGCTCTACTTTGCCTTTCCCTCCCCTGCTCTTTTTTTCCCCTATCTATCTATCAATCAATCAGAATCAATCGACATGGAAGGGCGAAGGAATTGAAGACGCGGGAGGCAAGCAGCGGGCGTCAGAGGCGCAGCCACCCGTGACGGGGACAGAAAACAGAAAAAAGAGAGAGAGGAAGAAGAAAGCGGCAAGGGCAAGAATGTCATTTCACCGTTGTTCTCTCTCCTCAACTGGCTGCAACCGGTCCACGGTGTCCTGTGGCCTAATTTCACCGAACCAAAGTGTCTTCTAGCAAAATACTCCAAAGTAGATGTCCGTCGGCAAAGGACCATCACTTTAGATGTCCAACAGACAATTGTTCATTTTATTTAGGTGGTGTTTAGTTGCCCTCCTAAATTTTAGTCGATGTCCCATCGAATGTTTAGACACATGCATGGAGTATTAAATATAGACTAATTACAAAACTAATTACATAGTTTGCGACTAATTTGCGAGACGAATCTTTTAAGCCTAATTAGTCCATGATTTGATAATGTGGTGCTACGGTAAACATGTGCTAATGATGGATTAATTAGTCTTAAAAAATTCGTCCAAGTGGAGTATTGACGGATTATGTAATTTATTTTTTTTATTAGTATCCGAACACTCCATACAACATCCTCCCAACACACCTGTTAAATTTTAGTCACTGAATCCAAATATCACCCTAGTATAAAAAAAGCAGCACAGTTTGATTTATTACATTTAAACTCCCAAGTCCCAACTGCCAACTCCCAACTCCCAACTGACAACCACCGCAGTATACATCATCTTGGGTGGGTGGGGACAAGAAGCGAACATGGCAGAAATGTGGGGACAAGAATCAAAGCTGCAAGATGGTAGGGCATCTGAATCGGTTGCAGATGGTAGGCCGGGACTATCAGAAGAGATGTCATTACAGCAAGCATTGAAGCCAAAACAAATTATGTAATCAGTAGTACAAGTTTATTGCTGGACCCGTACTCGATACTCCATAGAATCCGTCATGGACCACTCGCGGTTGAAGGCCATGGGCACGCAAGAGGCGTGCCCAAACTACTGCTCACCGTGGTGCGCGCCAGCGGCTGTAGCCGTGGCGGTGGCGGCGCGTGCCTTGAGCCAGTCGATGATTTCGTCGAACACCTTCTCGACGTTCTCCTCGGGCTCGCCGATGATCTGGTGCCACATCCCGGGGTAGACGCGGAGCGTCTTGTCGCTGCTCCCGGCGCGCCTGTAGAGCTCCTCGACGCAGGCCGGGTCGCAGACGGTGTCCTCGGCGCCGTGCACGACGAGGAGCGGCAGCCGCACGTCCTCGAACCGCAGCTGCAGGTCGCGGCAGACGCGGAGGAGCTCGAGCGCCGTGGCGGCCCTGGGCGGCGCCGTGGTGCGGCGCGGGGAGGCGAGCGCGAGCGCGCGCTTCCAGTCCACCTTGAAGGACCGCTCGGGGATGTTCCCCCTCGTGAAGGCGACGCGCCAGGTGGGGACGACCATGGCGGCGGCGGCCAGCAGGTGCTCGAGCGGCCACGGCGGCTTGAACCTGGGGCTGATCCCGCACATGGCGCCGTTGAGGACCACGCCGTCCCGCCAGAGGTCCCGGTTCCGGAGGTGGAGCAGCAGCGCGATGGCGCCGCCCAGCGACTCCCCGTAGAGGAAGCAGGGGAGCGGGGGCGGGTAGTCGGCGCGGAACGGCGCGAAGGCTGCGTCGCAGTCGTCGAGGACCGGCTCGATGTCGGGGAGGTGGCCCTGCAGGCCCTCGGAGAAGCCGTGGCCCTGGTGGTCGAGCGCGGCGACCGCGAAGCCCGCGGCGGCGAGGTGGACGGCCGTGAGCTGCACCATCCAGCTGGACTCGCCCGTGAAGCCGTGCACGACGGCGACGGCGCCCAGGACGGGGGCGTTGTCCCCGCGGGGCACCCAGCGCTGGGTGAAGATGCGGAGCCCCCGTGGGTTGACGAAGGAGGAGCTGGAGTGGGTCACGCCGTGGCGCGCGTAGAACTCGTCCGGCGTCAGGCGCCCGAAGGGGCTCCGCTCGTCGGCCTCCGCAATCGGGTGCACCATCTCGCTTGTTGCTGGTTGCTGCTCTGCGCTCGTCCGGTCCGGTGTTTGCCCCCGCTCAGCTGCTGGGTCTGGGTGGATGAAGATGGATACTCCTATAAGTAGAGGGAGGTGGAAACAAGGGGAGGAGCCGCCGGAGAGGGAGGAGGCGTTGGTCGGTATGGGACCGCCCGCCGCCTGCCTACCCCGGTTCGGGATGGAAACAATGGACAGGTGAAGGGGGAGGGGAGGGCAGGCGCCGGCGCGGCTTTTATTGGACTCTCCTACGCAGCACGAATACTTCAGGGTCGTATCCCGGATACGGATACACGAACCATACGCCTATCCAATTTTTTTATATTTTTAATTTATGATGATCTTCCTGAAGTGTGAACTCTAGTATAGAGTATGGACTTGTTATTTGTGGATTTGGTGTATCACTGTAATGTATGCACTATGCAGTTATGTATTGAAAATTTAATATGTATTATTGTTTAAGAAATTGCCGTATCCACGTATGTATATATATATATATATATATTATGATACCGATACACTATCAGTATCCGTGCGTAGCTCTCCTCCGTGAGCAGGTGCAAATGGGCAGGGCAGGGCAGGGGTACGAATTACAAAATCCTTGTGCTGCGCTTCTCCAACGTCGATCCATTCGTCCTTGTTTGTGGGCACTAGGCAGTGGGCAGGTACGGCGCCTATGTACGTAGTCCATATCGTGTTGGGTATCCCGTATCCGTGTGTTTTTTCGACCTTCTCATTTTCTCTTCCTCTGGCCTGGCACTGTCAGTGGCCGCCGACACTACGACGGTCAGGATTTATTGGGCTGGCAGTGGCCCCGTTCGTCGCGCTGAAATTTAGTTTAGCCTGAAATGCTACCAGAGAAAAACAAAACACTATTCGTTTGTTTGAAGCAGTGAAGCAGACCCGCGCCGTTATTTGGTTAGACCCCAGCTAGCCATGAATTGCCGAGAAACGAAAATGGTCACATACCACTTCGACTCTGACGACTTTTATAAATAGTTACTACTATCAATATATTATATTAGAAAAATTCAAGTTATATAAATCTTGACTGAAAGTTTTATTTAAACTTCATGCATCTTCAACTCACAAACTACATGGATAGATTGATATTAAAATTCTTTGGACATGGTGTCGAAATGTAGCAATTTATAATACGATGGAAGAATAAATGAATGAGCAAGATCTTCTCACGACGCGGGCGGCGGCGACGGCGACGCCGCCCTTGAGGCGCGCGCGCCCACGGTGGCCGTCCCCGGCCGCCGCAGAGCGGCGTGGCCGAGCCCCACCGGTCGCCGCCGGTGCGCCTTGCCCTCCCGCGGATCCGCATGGGCTGGATGAAACCCTAGCCGCTTCCTCCCCGCTCGACGGTCCTCCCCACGCCGCCCTTCTCACCGACTCTTTCTTCGCTCGCCACTTGCCAGTGCCGTCTCTCTCTCCCTCTCTCCCCGTGGCGCGGCGCACCATCTGGGCCCCTGCGTTGGCCGCGCATGGTGGCCGCACCCGGTTCAGGTGGCCCTCGACGGTGCCGCGATTGGGGAGGACCAGTCTCAGGTCGCGGCAGGTCTCGGCGTCCACCTCCTCAACGCGGGTTCTGGCTCCAGGGTAAGCGGAACGTTCGCCTGTGCTTCAGTATACCTGGTCGACTGAATTTAGTGCTCCTTCTGATGCTTATCCGTCAGAACAATCCAATATTGTCCTCTAGGTATAAGATTCATGTGAGTACTTGCTTGGGACTTGGGATCTCGTGGTGTTCTTATTGTGCAGGCTCTTTCAGTGATTTTGTTTTTTTCTGAGCTACGTACCACATACGCATACAGTTTAGTGGTTTAGATATCTGATCCTGTTTGCTGTTTTTTTATTGGGTTCACAATAATACTGTCAGATGATGAGTCCACATTAGCAATTTGATTCTTCTTCTTAACACTACATGCATTGTTTTAGATACTTTTCCTGCCTATATGTTAGGTAGCAGGTCAAGCCTCTTACCAAATAAGGTTTTGCTGTGCAGTTTAAACTATTCCAGTTTGTTGTGGCAATTCAAGAAACAGGCCTACAAAAACAAAAAAAACATATCTCTATCTATTCGTTATTTGTTAGTTCAATTTTTAGTTATGCTCATAGTCAGATCTTTAAAACGCAATCTCAGTTGCTCTTTATACATGGCATGCCTTTGCAGTGGTTTGCATATACATAATGGTGATTGGGACAAAGGAGTCATGCTATCGGAGGTCCTTTATTCGATGTTACGGACAAATAACTGTCACCTGCACTCTTGCCATAATCATGAAGAGTCAATTAGGGAAACAGGGTAAAGATGGTGTCTATAAACTTCTCGGCTGCGAATACTAATGTTTAGATGTAACCGCACAAGTATCTGTCATGTGCCCTATATTCTCAAACATAAGTTATCTCAATAATTGATGCTTCAAAAAATAGATTGGTTAATATGAATCATTTAATTTGTCGTTGTTACACACCTGGTTTCTAACTACTGCTGAATCTAAACTTTGTCAATGACATATGCTAACTTTTGTTCTTTCCAAGTGGCACAGAGCACTTCTATGCGTGAATTCCTTGATAGCTAACTACAATTCAGGCATAGATGGTATGATTTGACGCACCGAGGCCCAAGGGGGACAGTAGCAGGTTTGGTTGTTGGGGACCTTACGGCGTCTCCCTCCCTCTCTTCCTGGACGCGGGCGACGGTGATTTACCCTTGCGGTGCACGCCACCGCGGTTGCCCTTCTCAGCGCCTCCCTCTCCGCTCGCCGGTTGCCAGCGCCTTCTCTCTCTCCTCTCTCTCCCCGTGCCGTGGCGCACCGCCTAGGACCCTGCGTTGGCCACGCATGGTAGACGCACCCGGGACAGATGGCCCTCGATGGTGCCGCGATTGGGAAGGAGTAGTCTCAGGTGCTCCCGTTTCCTCTCGTTTTGTCATTTTGATTCTGTCTCTCTAATTTCTCCCTACATTGGCTTGGATTCCTAAACTTTTCCCTTCTTCTGTCTGTGATGAAAATTCTAGACCCATTGGTCAAGGATATGAACTGATGTTCGTTCACTTGTGAGGTACTAGGCATGCTCTGCTACTTATACTGTGCGATTTATGAGAGTAACCCAATTGTGACCATGCCTCGAAGCTCTAAGTTGATGAACAAATGATGATTGATATGTTTCTGAGGCCTCTAAAAATCCTGTCTTCATTAAGAAAAATTCTTATCTTTTTCATTGCGACAGATGATGAGTGGTAGCCTCTCCACTACTTCCCACTCTGCTGATCTTTTGTTAGGTCATAAAATCTTTTTGTTTTATACTAAATGTAAGAGCTTCTGGGAGAGAGTTATCGAACATCGCTTGAGAGCAATAACGCGGGTCTCTATGAACCAATTTGGTTTCATGCCCGGAAGGTCAACCATGGAATCCATTTTCTTAATAAGACAAGTTATGGAGCGGTATAGGAAGAAGAAGAAGGACCTACACATGGTTTTTATTGACTTGGAGAAGACTTGTGATAAAATGCCAAGAAATGTTATGTGGTGGGCTTTGGGCAAACATAAAGTCCCAACGAAGTACGTCGGGCTCATTAAGGACATGTACAATAATGTTGTGACTAGTGTTCGAACAAGTGATGGAGACACGGATGACTTCCCGATTAGGATAGGACTACATCAAGGATCAGCTTTGAGCCCTTATCTGTTTGCCTTAGTGATGGATGAGGTCACAAGGGATATACAAGGGGACATCCCTTGGTGTATGCTTTTCGCGAACGATGTAGTGCTAGTTGATGAAAGCCAGACAGGAGTGGATCAGAAACTAAAGTTATGGCGGGAGACTTTAGAGTCCAAAGGTTTTAAACTCAGGAGAACTAAAACTGAGTATATGAGATGTGACTTCGGCACTACTACTCGGGAGGAGGAAGATATTAGTTTGGAAGGTCAAGTAATGCCTAGGAAGGATATCTTTAGATATTTAGGATCAATGCTACAGAGAGACGGGGATATTGATGAAGATGTTAGAATAGAATCAAAGCGAGGTTGATGAAGTGGCGCCAAGCATCCGTGTCCTATATGAATAAAATCACCAAGAGTTAAAAGGCAAGTTTTATGGGGCGGCGATTAGACCATGCTATGTTGTATTTATATTGCAAAAAAAGACAGCCTTCAACAAATAAGGGTAGTTTGCTGGTTTGCAATTTATCGAGCTCCATGATACTTAGATTATAGTTCTGTCCTCCTTTGAAGAAAATTTTCTTTTTTTGCTTGGTGTTTGAGATGGTTTGGAATTGAAAGCAACATAGTGCTTCTTGGCAGATTTTTTTTATATTTCAGTTAATAAAATGCACACACCAGAAACATACTGCTTGACAGATTGAGACCAAGGAGACTTGATTGATAGGAATGCTCTCCAATTTTTAGCTTTAAAGTTGGAGTGTCTGACCTGGGTGCATTCACGTTGGTTCGAAGGTTGCATCTTCTTGGATCCTCATGCCTGCAAATTCCTATGGTGTTTGGGACTTCAATTCTATTAACCTTTGTATCCATCCTTTGTAAGAGCAATGGTGTCTTAGAATTGGCGCCATGATAGCTATGATCTGTGGTCCTAAGGTAAAGCCCCTCACTTCTCATTGGTGGCTACATCTCAATTGATGCTGTATTTTTGGATCAACGGGGACGACCTCTCTAGGTGAGCTTTGGTGGTGCCTCACCATCGAACAGTTATATTGCAAAAAAAATTTCAATTCCAAGGCCACTGCTCTGCTTGCTTAGAGCTCCATGATACTGTAGCTAAATGAAGCTTCCTCCTTTTCCTTCTGATTTTTCTGCCATATGTCAAGTTTGAAATTCTTCAGAATTGATAAACTGCCATTGATTTCTTGGAGCTGGTTTTTTTTTTTATTGAAATCAGTTATAAAATGACACACCAGAAACATACTGCAGCAGATTGGATGTGGAATAGTTATTTATTGATTTAGCTTTTGCCATGCTCTCCATTTTAATGACTAAAACAATCAAACAGATAGTTACTGACCTGAAATGCATTTGTATGCAGGCTGTGGGAGACGGCATCTTCTGGAATCCTTTATGCTTGCAAATTCACCTATCAATTGCCATTTTTCATTCTATTAACCATAGATTAATCCTTTGCAGATGCTGTGGCTTTTTAGAATTGGCAGTATGGTAGGGGCATGTCCTGTGGTCCTGGAAGGACTTTTTCGTCACATCAACAAATGTAGACTATAAGACTTCGACGAAAAAACATGCCAATCGGATAAAAAAATGGAAGTCCACTGACGAGCTTTATTTTTTGCTTACGAATTTACATTAACACTTACAAAGAAATTTGTCCAGTTTGAGGTTTTCCATCAAGCGTAACTGATAAGAACCATACGTTTCCTTTTACTGGTGCATCTACAAAACCACTTATAACAATTATATGGGACTTCAATGTGGGTTCACAGATGGCGATTTTTAAGGCTCTGTTAAGGGCTCAAAATCAGCCCTACACTTTGTAAATCGCAGCCACCTCCTAGGGTAGACCGTAAACTACCAATGCCACTGCCATATGCCTGCACCTTTGTACTTTAACCATTCTGTAAATATATATTAGTGAAGGTACCTTAACTTCGCAAATGACCGTGCCTACGACATGTGCATGATACACTCGTTATTCTGACCATAGTCCTTTATCCTCGCGCGCGAGGGCGCGTGCACACAGATAGGCAATTGTGTTCCAAAAATACTAACCTAATTCGGCTTAAAAAAGTGAACAATAACACAGTCACTACAGCTTCGTTACTAAATTTCGCTAGCTTACAAAAAGCAAAGAACTCCCTGTAATGATGTTAACCTGCAATCTCCCTTTCATTTACTCTGCTTTTTATATCACATAAATTCCAAGAACACATGCTACCTCCTTCAGGCATCAACCACTTACCTATCTGTTTCCCATATAAAAAAAATTATCAGCTACAGAGTTTTAATTCCAACCCCTTTCCACTTATCGGTTAACAAACTGTACTCCATGCTTTAAACAACATCACCATCAACAATACTATTATCTACATATAAACATGGTTATATTTATCTATCAAATTAATTGATACATGACACTTGCAGATCTACAGGATCAACAGGATGGCTGGCTACCGTTACCCGAACCTGACAATAATAATCGACGAATCAGAGCTCCACATCAAGGATCCCAATGTCTTTAGCCCTGCAGTAATTGCAAAGCTTCCGTTATCAGCTGCAGGTGCAGTTGACCACCAGAGCTTAAGAGACGCAATCCAGCAGCAACTCCAAGTCGAGATCTAGATACAAAACATATCAAAGTATGGTCCTCACTACTTTATACAAGTACACTCTTCGGAAGCAAGTTTCCGTATGCTTAGCAAAGGCTTTGTTGTTGTTTCTACCTACACCTACACACTCACACTCATGCCATGGACCCCGGAATACGGCTCAACAGCAGTGCCCCTACAAACACAGCTCAACCCTGATCCCATCAACCACCACATAGCAAACAGCTCACGTGTGCCGCCGCCCAACGAACGCCTCAGCATTGAAATCTCTGGGATACCACCACACCTAACAATACACCGTCTGTTCAGCGGAATTTGCACCATCCGTGACATAACATTGAAACCTGCAACACTCACATGCTGGGTCTCCGCCTATGGACAAGAGCCGCTTGTGCCTAGCATTGCACATATAGGTGTCAGGAAAACAACTGAACACGGTGACCTCCTCAACATTTGGCCACTATGGTATGAAACATATACAGAAGAGATGCTTGGCAGGATGACTCCACCAGAACATCGATGGTCTCAGCGACGAGGTAATCACTCATACAGCTACAATGCCACTGAAAAACACAGGCACCTCTATTTCTAACAATCTTGCTCCCAAAATTAACAGTATCCTCAGATCTTGCTACCGTGCACCAAGAGGAACACCACAGAGAATATTTCGCCTACGCAGGTAATGACAGTCAATATTAGCCAAACACAGTGCCTACTAACATAATTATTTCACTCATCAGGTCACGACAATGAGGCAACCTCCTGTCCACGGGGGAATTTTTTACATATTTACCATCATGGCGATGTGAGTGGTATAAAAAATACCATGTCAGTGACACAGTGTAAGATATCACCGTAACAGTGGTAAATATGTAAGACATCTGTACACTCCATTTCAGTCCTCATCATATTCTAAAAAAAAACACACCACGGCTACAATTATCACAACACTATCATTCATATGCCTTTCTTCCTTTGTTCAGCAATATAACAATATAAAAAGAAAATCCTCAAACTGCGTGCTCCAATATTTCATATATACACAGTATTTGCAATATACATAAATTTCTTTTCCCTACTTCCTCATACTCCTGCAGACACACCATCACTAAGACTACAATCATAAAACATGTTCATCTCTCTGCAGATATTTCTACCGATTCCTCCCTGAACAACTCGGACGACGATGAACATGGCTGGGAGTCTGATCGCAGCTGGAAATTCCACTGATCATTGCTACATCAACGTTCAAGTGACCCTGTATAATATTCCTACCAAGCAGGCCGCAATGCTTTTGTTGAGATGCTAAAGGCCCTAATGATCGTTCCTGCATCTATCTCCAAGCCCGGCAAAGGCTCCAGTCAACTTCCTATTAACCTTGTATAATATAGCTGCTCAACACCCTGTAGTGGCTCTGTATAGGTACTCTACTCTTTCACCTAGCAAACCAAGTCCTTGTTTGTTCATACACTGAAAACCCTGTGGACACGTTCCAGGAACAACTCCATGTATAATGGCTGTATAATTATGCTTCAGTCGACTATGTCCAGGTTACTGTTCTCTTTCCCTCAAATTTGTGCCTGCATCTGCGAGCAATGGCGCGCGCCCCTCCACTAGTTGTACATAAACTCCATAGGAATCTAAAGGCGACGCTGCACTGTTTTGGTGAAGAATCGACGCTTTTCGGTGCCAAAGTCATGTAGAACTTGGAATTCTAAATATTAGAGTACACCACTACATGTGAAGTTATTGGATTGTTTACCGCTATAGCTAATATAATTACAAAAACATAAGAAAGCGAGCAGGATGGATGTCACATGTCACAACTTGGGTACAACGCGACACGCGAGTGACAGGTATCCAATTTCTGCAAATAAAGAAAAATCCAAGCCTCATAATTGCCCCCCAATATTGATCACCTTCCAATCTTCAAATGATAAGTAATGAAATATTTTCACGCAAGCCCAGCAGTCGAAGAAATTTGTCATTGTTTGCTATTTATATTACTAGCCTACGGCAGCTGGTAAGCCTCCGGGTGGCGTTCCTCACGACCAAAGTTCGAATCCTTGGTCAAATGAATTTCTAGTCGGTGGTGTAGAAAAAAAACCTTCACTTGTCCCGCGTTCTCAAAGCATAGGTAAAATGGACCGGCCCTCTCACCGGGTAACGGGCGCCTATGTGCGGACGGCGCATGGGGTTCAAGGGTTTTTTTTTGGACTAGGTGAGAAGTCATCTACCTTAAGTTAAAATAGCTCGAGAGGTGTCTACCCCCACAGCTGACTTTTTTACTAGATGCGAGTTGTTCTTACTCGTATGAACGTAGGTCATGAGTCCGGTTCACATACGAGATACATAGGATGTGACCCAATATGTATTAGAATCAAACTCCATATTCATCATCGCTAGATGCGAGTCCTAACTCATATAAGTATAGATCATGAGTCCGGGTCATATACGAGATATGAAGAAAACTCTTCACTTTTCAGGTAGTTAGGAGGAGGTGCACAAAAAAAAAGTGAGAATTTTAACTCTTTATTAATATCAAAAGGTATACATATCTATAGTATAGATATAAATATTATATTTAAAATGTGCATGTGATTTGCACGGGATATAAAATATCCACACGTCTTGTATATCCTTTTCAAAGATCAACAAATGGGGTCAACTTGATATGCCAGCTATCTTGATGTATATGCTGATGCTATGCCGATTTGAGTATCCAACTATGAATTATTTACAGGCAGTTGTGAGGATCCCGCCTCTGAATTATTTACAGGCAGCTGCCGATTTGAGTATCCAAAAAAAATGAAGAGTATAGTTGATAATCTTCCTAAATAATAGCATGTCAATCCATCCGTGCTTTTTTCCTTGTAGGTATTGAAATCAAGCTATACTTACATGCATGTGAACCATCGAACTCATGGTAAAAAAAAAAATCAATTAGAAAATTGTCATTATCATTGATTGCTGGTTGATGTCAGATGAGTTTTTTTTTTTGACAACATATGTCAGATGAGTTGTTTCCAACTCTCCAACCCAACCTGGAAATCAAATTTCGCTGGAGACCGAGAAGAGGACTGAATCTCCATAGTAGTTGGAAAGAAGACGGTACTGAAGCTCGGGAGACGGTATGTCAGCAGCTGAGCTCCAGCTTCCTCTAGCTGCCCGTGCCCCCTGCCCCTGTCATGGCAACCACATTGAAGCACCAGTGCTGCAATTACTATCAGTTTCTGCCGTATCCACGATACTGTTTTGGTACAGCAAACAAGCCTTTCTCCATGCATCAACCACATGGAAAAATGTCATCCGTCAGGCATGCAGGATGCCACGATCTATGGACAGAGGCGGAGGCAGAACGAACGCTTGCCTGAGGGTGCGTACATGACGAAAAATTGATCATGTTTTTTCGTTTTCGGGTGGGTGCGCAGTTTTATGTCTATCGAGGATACTCATAAAACTTCAGTGTCCCATTTTTCAAACTTTGATCCAATGGCTAAGTGAAGTAAACAAAAGGACTGATACTGTTTGGTTGATCGGAAATCTTAATTTGTTTGGCAGCGCTCCAAGTGCTTTAGATCTACGAAACACAGTTTCAAATCTGATTTTTTTTTTACTCAAACACCTCAACTTCACAGAATTCAGATTCACCAAAACTCTAGATCCAGGGGCAGATCCATGAATTTCCTGGAGCACCTCAAAGGGGTGCTACAAAACTCAGATTTTTGGACTTGGCCAAAATTACCCACTATGCCACTGACTACGTAAGAAAATAACGGTTCGTTCATCCTTCTATTTTCCCTCTCGCGCTCACCAACCCTGGCCATGACCGCCACCGGCCGCGCCCAGGCCACGTTGGTCCTGCCAGGCGAGCCCCGATGCTCTGCAGGAAGAAGATGAAGTCGGGCGTGCAGGCCTAGACAGGCCTTTCAATCTGGAGCTCTTCCAAACAGGCCCACAGTGACTAGAGTAATCCGATTTGGAGATTGTAAAATGCATTTTCTTCCGAAGGTCCTGTTTGGCAATACAATATTATTTCTCAGGTGTAAACCATTTCCACTTGTCGTATGTTTTTCGGATCAAAGGTGACAATATTTTTTCCGTTGGTTTTGGTCCAAACCAAATGTAAAATTATTTAGCTCACTGGCCTTCCAATCTGTGATTTTTGAGTTGGGTTGGAAAAAGTTTTTAGACCTATAATTTACAGTGGTTTTGGAGTAAATATTGGGCTTGCAAACAGGCCCTAATGCAAAACATAACCTGACAACCTCTTTAGGGTGGGTTTAGTTTTCCTTGCAGGCGTGTGTTTGTGACTTTGAGGCTTGGGCTTCGCTCCATTGCAAGAAGTCGGAGCTACTCGACTGTGTTTTCGAGCTCGGCAATGATGACTTGCAGCAGGTAGGGTTTGGGTTTGCCGTTTCGGACATGCTGCTGATGTTAGAGTTTTTGCTGGTTTTTCTTTAATTAATCATGCAAGTGCTAGGTTTTCGGGCCTGATTTTTCTTAAATAAACTGGAGCTAACTCTTTTCTAACTTAACTAAAAGGCAGTTGCGTTAAGAAAAAAATTCCTTGCCGCACTAGGCTCCTCGGCCTCCAGTGGCCTTCTGCCAGGCTAACTTGGCTTCAAGGCAGTGAAGTTCAGATCGACGTCGTCCATTGGCCACTGGCCATCCTCCAACAGCTACGAACTCCATCACTGACGAGTTCAGATCGCATTGGTTGTCTGAATCGAGAAAATTCAATAGCTTAATAGTATAGAACTATAGATAAATAGTAAGTGTGATAAAGAGAACAGTTGGCGTTCCAAACATGGCCAATCAACTGGCAATCGCATCTTTACTTTGGCCCATCCACATTTCCACATACATAGCTGCAAGATTACAGCTTCATCCATCAGCACAGCTGCACAGGCAGGCAGCTCCAGCCATGGGGTCCTCCATCCTTTCTCGGCCTGTGGTAGCAGCCTGGCTGGCACAGTAAGCAGTGGTGAAGTACTGAAGTAGCTGGATCGATTCATGGTATCCTGCAAACTGCAATTGCAGCATCATAATTCACATGAGGAGATGGCCAATGTCTGATCAGGAGAAATGGTGCGGGCTCAGAGGTCACATGGCCAAGGACCAAGGACATGGTTAGGTGTAACAGAGTCCTTGTGTTCGTTAATGGAGTACCAGTATCCAGTCACGACCTACCACTGCTTAGCAATAGCAAACTCAGCCTGGCAACGTACGAGCCATGCCTCTTCTCTGTTTCAGTCTTCCTCGACACAACTGCTGCCAATCTTGCTTTCAAGGTTGAAAACGCACAGGCTGTTTAGCTGCAAAGACGAACTATACCAAAACACAAGTGAAAGGCACAAAGATGCGACAAGCCAAGTTGCAGTTGCATGGCATATTTTTCTCCTTTTTTTTTTCCTTTTCGATATAACGGTTACACAGCATGACATTGTTAATCTGGTAACCCAGAAGATAAGGGTTAAGACCAATCAACCAACAAATCTACAATTTGGGTGAGACTTTCTTCCACCTAGGCAGAGCTGATATATATGTACACTAAAGTCTAACTTGTGCGGCGATCCAGCACTTCCTATGTTGATGATATGGCCACCGATTTTGGTGGTGAGGCTACAAGATACATACACATCAGAGAGCCTAAGACATTTCTATCTGCTTCTTCATTCAGCAAAAACTTTGGGCTTACGGACCCTTTGGCTCCTCCTATTTACAACCAGTACAGCCTTCTCAACCTGCAACTTCAGGGGGGCACTCGCGGTCTCTAGCTGCTTCTCTGTGGAGGATGAGCTTACAGTCTCCTGCTTCTTTGCTGCTGAGCCTGCATTTTCAGCCTTTGGCGCCCTTGCAGCTGCGGTCGACTTTTCAGTTTTCTGCTTCTTCACTGTTGAGGATGGCTTCCCAGTTTTCTGCTCCTTCGATGCCAAGGATGAGTTCAAAGATCTATTCTTCTTTGCATCTGCAGGTTCATTTCCAGATTTACGCTTCTTTCCACCCGGCCCTGTTGCAGGAGAGTGTGTGCTTTCAGTTTTCTCCTTTGCTACATCAGAGGCCGTGCTCCTTTGGTTCTTTGCAGCTGAGGGCATGCCCTCAGTTTTTTCCTTTGCATCAGGAGTTTTGGAGGCCTCTTTCCTCTGCTTCTTGGTAAAGAAAGAGACTTTCTTCTGCCTTTTCTTAGGTTCCAGCTCCTGCTTGTTCCCAGGGGAGACGAGCTTCCTCGAGGGTGACTTTTCAAGGAATGATTCTTGCTCCAATGTGGGAACAGAAGTGCTATCTACTTCAACTGGAGCACAAATGCTCTCAACTTTTACTGGAGCACAAGTGTTCTTCACTTCAACTGGTGGAGAATTATTCTTCATTTCTGCTGGAGTAGAAATGTTCTGGTCTTTGGAAGAACTTCCAGAAGGCTGCTTGGCCTTATAAAACTGCTCACAAGCTTCATTGGCTCCTTGATTGTCTATGAGGATATCATCAGTATTCTACAGAAAAAGAAAAGAAAAGAAACAGAAGTATCAACTAAATGCCAGTGCAAATATATTGCCCAATAAGCTAACACGTTCAGTATTTTCAGGGAAGTGGTTCAAAATCAGTGAAATATTTTTAGACGCACAACTATCATTAAGCTTCCAAAATGTAGTCATAGAAACATAACATACTATATTACTAGTATTTGTGTGTTTGTAAAAACAAATTTAAAAATAACTTGCTTTATCACATTGCTCTCCTGATGGCTTCAATCTTATAACCTGCAAATTTCACTAGAGATAACTTCTATCTATGCTAACAAAGTAGATATAGAATTCAATAATTTTTAAGCCCCTACCTCATATCCAAGACATAACTACAGATCCAGGTTCGTACAGGGAAACAGTATCTGTTTAAATGGGTGTTAAGCTTTTTTACTTAAACGTAGTCAAGTAAAGCGGCCATCCCTGCAATATTTTTATAGAAATGCAGTATAATGTTCGACTATTTTCTCTAGAAATAGTAGGGCGTACCCAGTGCAGAGAGCTCCCGCTCTGTGTGGGGTCTGGGGAAGGGTGTTAGTGGCAAGCCTTACCCTCGCCTGTACAATGCGAGGAGACCGCGACTCGAACCCAGGACCTTCCGGTCACAGGCGGTAAGACTCTACCGCTTGCACCAGGCCCGCCCTTCTTTCTCTAGAAATAGTAAATGGGGGAATTTATACATCCCAAGCTTAATGTGCATATAAGATGATCCAAATTCCAATATGTAAGCAGCAATTCTCAGAGTATCAACCCAACTCCAAACAAGCAATGAATAATTAAATTAGGAATAAGAATAAGCAAAGGGCCAAAGACTTACTACTTTGTATAAATCCCCAATATCACTATTTGTTATGGAATTGCCAGTACCCAACAGTAGGTCCAATGTGATGGCTTCGTCCCTCAAGTGATTGCACTCTCCACTTCTTTCTTCAGTAGTCCTACTTGTACCTATTATATGAGCATCAGTTTCCCTGTCAGACAAAGCAGATCCTCCTGAAAGTGCTTGTCCATCATCATCCTTCAGCAAAATGTTTACATTCTTCTTTTTCTGTGGTTTAGTATGTCGAGACTTTGTATAAGAGAATGAGTGCTTTTGAGTACGCTGTCTCTTCCGAGACACCCTGACATGAGTATCACCCCCAGAAAATGCCAAATTTTCTCCTTCAGAATGAGCCTTGCTGAGACGATCTTGCAGCAGATGAACTCGAGACTGAACCCCATCAATTGTCAAGAGAATATCCTGTAAAGTACGTTGCTCGCAAATCATATCATAATCCTCGGAATCCAGCAATGTAGCAGTGTCAAGTCCACCTCTCATACTACCATCAACTGCAATCAGAATGAACCAAATACACAGTTAGCACTTGCATAACAATTACTTAGGCAGAGAATAAAGATGAATCACAGTTTCTGCATGGCCAGTTTAACTAAACCTCAAGTGGTTATGTATGTCCTTCATTGATCTATCCAAAAATGGGAAAGCTACCATAATATCCAATAAAACCATAGAGGGTCAGGAAGATGTTGGCATATTTTATCATATGGCTATATAAACTAACTCTGTCAAATTATGTAAGGTATACATGTTTCTGGAAATTCAAAGATCCATATATCTGATTTAAGCTTAGTCAAATTATGTATTACTTGTGTATAAACTATACAGCTGCATAATTATTTCAAAGTGCGTTCACACTAAATTCGTGTTATAGCTGTAATGTGTAAACAGTATTGCAAGAAAAGAATGATCAAAGTCTAGTTTTTAATCCCGATTAAAAAAGGTCTAGTTTTGAACACCGTGCCAAAATAAAATACACCCTACATACTTGGATAGAGAGAATATTTGCTTGGATACTTTACAACTTTAAAAACCAAGACCACAAAAGTACATGTAAGCATTAAGATTTGTCACATAAAATGACATTAAAAAATTGCCATGTAATGTGCTTTCAAGCAATTGTAAGTTTTATACTTTTATTGACATATATATTCTAATAAAGTAAAATTGAAGGTGTGTGTAGGAGACGCATAGTCTAAAACGAAAAGGCAAAAATGGGATGGTGTCTAGTTTCTAGTTTTGATCAAGATAGTGTTTGTTGTACAAAAAGGGTGCTTATGTTTTCTTAAAATCAAGGGTGTGTCGGTGTGCAATGTAAGGGTTCTTGCCCCTTTTTCTTCTTAATACAAAGATGCGCAGGTCTCCTTTGTGTTAAAGAAAAAAACTAGGGCACCAAGGTTATATTAGATATCTTGGTTTCCTTTGATAGCGTGCATATGGTGTCACAAAAGCAACTTTTTCCTCACAACTGAGTCAAGAGCTAATTCTGTCTAATGGTGTACCTTTGCTAGATACTATGTTTTCCATTTTAACTTCACTGAAAAGTTTGACAAGATACCGGATAGATACATTCATACCTGTGCTACAATCGTCATCAACTAAGACACCATCAGTGTCAGCTCCCTTATTTTGTTGATCTGCAAAATATTGAAAGAATTATTGTCATTATGAACGAAACCTGGTGCAAAATTAACACAAACACAGATAAATTGATGTCCTATCTCTACGAAAAAGAAGACGACGTAATTGGATGCCAGACCATGGTAGTATGACAATATCCGGTGCTTGTTGATGTATAAGGACGCATCCACGTTTTCTTCATGCCTCTTCCTCTTTCTCCTCTTCATGATACTGTTTCCATGGCCTTTGTGCATCTGCATCGATTCTGACATAGTACCATTTGCTTTGCTTACTGCCTGTTTTGATTCCTTTTGTTTATTTATTAGAGCAAGCTCCCTGTCATACTTCGATACTTGGGATGAAAGCTCCCTCATTCGCAACTCTAACCAGTGGCATCTCCACTGAATTGGACGAACAGAATTGCTCCACTCAGCCATCACCTTTTTCCTTCTGAAGAGTAATCACACAAAATTTGTATAAAAATGAAGCATGTCAGAATAAAACATTACAACAAGATATAATAAGAATATATCAAGTACTCCCTCCATTCAAAATTATAAGACGTTTTGGCTTTTCTAGATACATAGTTTTTGTTATGCACTTAGATTTACACTATGTCTAGATACATTGTAAAATCAATGTATCAAGAAAAGCCAAAACGCCTTATAATTTGGAACAGAGGGAGTAGTTGCTTGTTCAAATTATATTCTAGCCATACCCATAAAATGACAGGTAAGCTAACACTTTGAAGCATTCATAAGAGTAGCTCAATTATCGATTTCCTTGTTCATGACTGCACGTTATAGTTTTTTTTATTAAAGCATGAATATCGGAAATAAGCATGCATAAATCAGAACCATACTTTCAAAGAAAGGCAATAAGCATAAAAATATACAATGTCACCTGAAAGGCACAAAAGGAATCTATATAGGTCTACAACAATAAAAAAAAAAATCATCAATGCTGGCATGGTTTTGAATCCCAAGCTGGAAACTTCTTTTGCAAATTCAGACTGTCATGTTTAACATATACCATTTAGTAAAATACCTAGGTGAACTGCTCCAAAAAGCTAAAGAAGAAAAAGGTAACACTGACCCAAGAACTCTCTAACCAGAAGGGTATTGGTGCTCTTTGTGTCAATATTTAGTGTTTTGGCCTACTACTGGATTGACAGACATATGGTCACCAATGAATCCATGCCGATAATCAAGGAATTAATCTACCTGGTAGCTGAAACTGTTAGTCGCTGAATTCTCACTCTTGGTAGTAGCAGAATTCTTACTCTCATCGAGAGAGGATGACACTAGGAGTTGGGGCAATTTTCTGATTTTATATTTCACACAAACTCACACAAATGCCATGCCAACCTGAGGGGTTGGGGATACATATTTATAGGCTGCTAGCCAGCTAAGCATATGCCAAGATGCTAGTCTAAGATGCTGTCCTAGATGTTGTCCTACATGCTAGTCCTAGATGCTGTCCTAGATGCTAGTTCTAGATGCTAAGATGCTAGTCAAGGGTGTTGTGCTGTCCTTGGGCAGCAAGACCACAAGGACCAGTCAAGGATGCTGCAGCCACAAGGAGTACAGCTGCAGCCCCACAAAAAGAACCACAGAGACTTATCCATCATAAACAAAGTCCTGGTTGAACAACCAAAACGGTAAATTCACAATGCTTTTGAATAAGCTACCATTTGCTTAATTGTCTTTCTAAATAGCTACCTGAAAAATATAAGATCATAGGGTTATCTGGTACTTGCCTCTTCTGATCGTGATAGGCATACTTCGCATAAGTGGCACGACATTTCTTAGGACAACACATATTTTTCCTGGCTGTTGCTACCTGCTTCTATTTGGCATATAAGAATTGTGCAGAAATTATACCTGTCCTAATCTAAGTGTTATTATCACCTTCTAAGTTTTTAACATTTCATATATAAATGATGAACGAAATGTAGCCCAGAAAAGGAAAATTTCGATGAGAAGGTACTAATCAATAAGCATAAAAGACACCGCATTACGTTACTGAATCATATCTTTCTGTTTTAGGTACAATGATGTTCCTACGTTTCTTGTCGCTTCCGCAGTCAGGAAGGTGCAATAATCACAACATAGTATAACAGTCGAAACCCTACTACAACCTTCCGTTTTGTCACCAGGAGCGCGGGAGAGAGGGAAAACCAAACAATGAAACACAAAAGCACATAACAACCTAGCATAATCTTACACCTGTTCATTCTTCCATGAACCAGGAGTGCACAATAATGAGATCAGTAGTATTCAGGGCACACGAGGAACTATGGAGGACTCACCTAGGGGGCTTTGAGGGCCCAACACCGTTGGCATGAGCGGACAGGCCAGAATTCACTTCTGGTTCACCATTGTCTGCCTCACCTTCAAATCCAGAGCAGGTGTCCCCAAACGAGCTCGAGCATTCAGTGGTATCGCCTCCCTCGTATTTCACAAGCTCAGTACCAACCACCAGAGGGCCACCATTCGTGCAGACAGCCTCGGATTTCACCACCACCATGCTGTTCTGGTTCTTGGCGCCACCGTCGCCCTCGTCCACCACCATGCTGCTCTGGTTCTTGGCGCCACCGTCGCCCTCGTCCTTAGTATCCATGGCTGGAGGTAGAGCTGGAACGGGAACGGGAACGGGAACGGGAGCGGGAGCGGGAGCCATGGCTCGCCGCTGTTGCGTCAGGTCAGGCCGTCAGGGGCCCTACGCACCCACACGAACCCCACCAGAATTGCTCCCAATCTTCCTCCAGAAGAAGACCCTGCGGGCGGACAGATACGTTCAGCAACGAAATTCGCAGGGGACGAAGAAAATCAAAGGAGCGCACGAGAATGGTTCAAGCCTCCGCAGGAAAAAGCTCAATTCTGCAACAGGAAACCCACGGATTCGTAATAGAACCCTATAGAACGGGAGGATTCCTACGCATGACTAAACAGACAAGAAGGAACGCAAGAATATCGTAGCGAATGGGCGGATGAAAAATACAAATACTCGAGCAGGCAACAAGGGAATCCGCGGAATACCCATACGCAAGACGAATCCGCAACAAAAAAAAAAAACACCGCAAAGGAACCCGCAAGAACGTGACGAGCCCTGTGAACCACGCAGGACCAAACCAGTGGGGGGAACGAGGGCTTACCGAGGATCGTCAGACGGAGAATCAGGCATTAGTCCGGGCGGATCGCCATGGAGGAGGAGAAAGATTGGTGGGTAATCGGGATCGGGGCACGATCGCTCGGGTCTGTGGCTCAAACGCGGAGGCGAGGGCGAGGGGAGGAAGCATCCATGAATCTGGGCCTTTTTATTCTGATGATGATGAATGAAAAAAGCGGGGAGGGGGAGGGAGGAGGAAGAAGACGAAGGCTGGGGGGAGAAGGGCCTCGTGAGGAGGAGGTGGAGTTACTAGTTTCCAATTCCAATCGCGGCAGCGCGCGTCACGCTGTTCGCACCGCCCGGCGAGCTGTGTCCACCACGCCACCTCCCGTCCGTTGTCCATGGAACCCAACGGGAGAGACGACCGACCGCTCCGACTCGCTCGCGTCTCTCTCGTCGCCTCATCGCCTTTTGCCCTTTGGGCGGCCTATGATGCGATGGGCCCGAATCGCCCTAATTCCTTTTCCGGTGGACCTGTGGTTGTGTGAACAGAGGGGTCGTGGAGATCGACGGCTCAGATTGCACGTGAGATGCTGCGCTTGGATCATCCTCGCCCAAGTAACCACTATGCTTGGTGGTTATTACAATATATCTCCTACTTTTTTTCTCAATCTAACCCTTTAAATTTTTTAATAAAAATCGCTCTCTATATCATTTCTTTCTATTTTGTTCAGAATCTTGGAGAGCCAACTCCGCTCTCTATCACTTATAAGCAAGAAATTAGAAGTAGAGAGATGAAAATATTTAGAGATCTAGTTGAAGAAATGTTAGAGATTTTTTTTTCATGAACATCTATTTTCCTATTAATACAGAATGACATAAATAGGCTCTCTTAGAGTTGCTTTTAGACCATTCTCAACATAGGCTAACAGAAGTGTTGTCCTTAGAAGATAGAATATGTGAAACTACTAATGGTTTAGCACAAGCTAATGTTGATGTGTTATCCGACAACTTTTGCTTTGCCTCCCTTCGATTGCTGTGCACTCTCCTCAGTAGATGGGGAGAGTCTATCACAAGGTCTCACTTTTTTCTAGACCCAGTACAGACATAGATACTTATATACACAAGTACACCCCCCTTATGAATGCACGCGCACACACCCAACCCCTATGAGCACCTCCGACGCGTGTGAAACAATGCCTTGCAAGTCATTCTAAGGGCACGAGGAGAGAAAGACGCCAGTTTTGTTAGCTCCAACCAAAGTCATAGTCCATGTAGACGAGGAGTTGAGACCAATAGTCTTACCGTGCGGCAAGAAGGAAGCTACTTTATTTGGGCCTACTATGCATGTAGTTTCCACGGGCATTACAACTTCCCCATTTTCCCTCCGTCTTCCTAGGCTCCTGCAACCTTCTTCACAACATGAGTCTTGGTGTTTCTTCCGCTTTATGTCAAGTGAGACCTATGCTGCTTCTATGAGTCATTCTAACAGTATGCAAGACCACCATCCTTGGTGACATGGATGCTCGATGGTGACGTGGAGACTAATAGGGCAGTACGACAGCTTGGTGCGTTGGAGAAGCCCTGATGCTCTATGGAACCACTGTTCATGCTTGTTTGATATTAAATGCATATATGGAGCCTAGAACTCCCATCTAGAGTGTATCGTTGAGCCTGACCTTAGGGTATGTTTGGATTGGTTCCCAATCTGCAAAAAGCTTGCAAGAGAGCCTCTATTTGTTTAGCTTCCATAGTCTCCTACAAGTTTGGCTTATCAAACTTTTCTCTTCGGCTTACGATACAACACCATTTGCACTACTTGGCGGACAAACCATGTGTTGCGGTTATGGGGTGCCACAACAGCACAGTGGTGAGCTTAGGAGACAAGCTAAACAAGCCCTTAGACCATGGAGTAAGAAAAACATGCCTTACTAGTATAGGTTAGATCACCAGAGTTGCACAAGTCTCACCCCTTGTTAACCTCCAAAGTTGTGGTAGGTAGTAAGTTCCACTAAATTTACTAGTGTCGCAGTCACCAAAATATGTATAGTTCATTGGTTTAGATGTGTGTGGTGTTAGTGTATGTGTTTACTCATGTACGTGGAAGAAAAGATGGGGAAACCCTTTCCCTCTTGGCACGTGAAATTAAATCTTAGTGACATGTCTACTAGATATCTTTTAATGAAGTGTTGTTTAATGTTGATATAATTGAAAAAGGAGCTAAAACAAGAAGAGTTACATCATATTTTTGGCATGTCTAATCCTTGTATTGCATGAGATGGATTTTTTTTACAATGATAGTTTTCTTACTCCCGCTTCCTAAATGCGGCTATCTAGTACTGGAGCACCTCACCCTAGTGCACTAGGTGGTGACTGGCTTACTTTATATCTCCGTGCCTTGGTCAAGTGTTGAGCAAATCTAAGTTCTAATGATGCATTTCACAAGCTAGTTAGACTCATTTGAGATTTTTTATTGGATTTTTGCACAAGAATTGACATCCTTACCTAGCATGTAACATTATCATGGTTGCATTCTTGCCCACTAAAGAAAAATCAAAGAAATCAAGAACTAACATAATGCATCTAAATCATATGAAAAATTGAAAAAAAAACATTATGTCAATTATGACAAACTAGAATTAAAACCTTTTCTCCTTTGCTCCTTTGAATTAGATTCTTTCTTTGTATCAAGACTTTGATTCAAACCTTCGTCCTTTTATATTGGTCATAGTGGCTTGTATTTGACCTTTGAGTTGGACCTTCTCCTAAATACTACATATTTGATTCCACCCATAACTCGACTTTCCCTCCTATGCTCTGAGTTCTAGTATTGATAAGAATTCGATGTTATGGTGATGAATATACCATACAATTCATTATGTACGGATGATGGATGAGATTCCATGGACAGAGAGCCAGTTCCAATAGACTTATGGAATGTTCCCGTTCGCGTGCATCCAACAAGAATTGAACCCGCAAATTTACCAATTATGAGTTGGGAACTTTAACCATTCAGCCATGGATGCTTAACAAGGATCATCGTACATCGTAAATAACCAATTTTCATATAGAAAGACATCATAGAAAAATGAAATAAAAAATATTCAGAGATGGCAAATATTTGGAGATGACTATAAAACCTCATACAAATGACAAGTCTTTTCCACCTACGTGACAACACAAGAATTTTTTAACGACCGGTGATTGAAGGGGGGGTTGAGGTATAAAAGGTAAATCCCAACAATGTGTTGTCTATCCTAAGAGAATATCCAAGAGTTTACAACAAAAAATCATTCCAAAAAATTCTGATTTTGGAACCTCACAAACACTATTTGGTATAGAAAAACAGGCCCTTCTACAACATTTTTATATATTTGTTTCTAAAATATCAAATCCGGACCTATGTGTCCTGTCCACTTTATTACTAAGAGCTGCTTGGCCTTTTAATATTGTCGCCAACCAAAAACTTCCCCAGTTGGCCAGTGAGCGGTCAAGGATGACCAAGACTGGTTAGGCGCGACAAGGGTAGCCAGTAGTGGCGCGATGGAGGATCAAAAAAACACTCAAGAGAAACAAAAAACACGTGAGGGAAACAAATAGCCCCATGAGGAAACAAAAATGCAATGCCAGAAGAGTGATTGGGAAGGTAGGGAACATGGGAAAGATGAGGAGTTGATTGAGACATTCAGGAACCGATAAAAAATTGGAAGTATGGACTTGGAGTTGTTGGAGGGCCAATTTTTGTTTTTGGCTAAAAATGATTTTGAGAATAGTTTGAAGGAGCTCTTGGAGATTCTTTAAGCAAACTAGTTTGTCCCCTTTCTAAGAACTAGAAGGATACCACGCGCATTGCTGCAGAACTTTCTTAGAAATAAAAAATTCTTGCATGTATGAGTTAAACCTATATATTGTTACATCCATTCTTACCAAAATTAGAGAAGGCAATGAAAGAATCCTATAAAAAACTAACAGAATTAGATCAAATTATAAGACGATGGAATGGCAAAACAAATAGTAATATATGAATGCCTCTATATTTCTTATATGTTGAAATTAAATTGTGCTTAGTGGAGATGGTGTGAACAGCTTACATTAAGAGATTGAAAATTAGTGGGATGACATGGCTATTAGTGGAAGGTGATGTGGATAGGTAGTGGAAAATAATGTGAATGCCTTGCATATTGAGATAAAACTTGTAGTGGGGTTTAACTTTATAAGAGATATAGATCTCTATCCTAAGAATCCAAGCTAGCAATGGGTATAGTCCTTGGGAGTTTGCATCGCTTCCACACTATCACCCCTACTTTTTTCTAGTCCTCTATTTCTTGCCAAGCTTGGGTTTATCCCTCTAACTTGAAATGGCTTGTTTTTTTATCAACAACTTGGTATGCATTTTTGGAACAAAAAAGAGCAAATGTGTCGATTCATGTTAGTGTTGTAACTCATAATTGTGATGTCACTTTTGTGTTCTTGCCTTCTTCTTGCTAATATTTTTTTGTTGGAAGATTTGTTTCATGGTTTCCTATGATCTTGCAGAAGTGTTATGTCACTGACTTTATCTTACTGTAAACTAGTATTGTAGGTTCTAACTTCTGTTAATGCTTGTTCTCACTCCATTTCCGATTCCTATTTGTTGAAATTCTTCTATGGTCCTATGATCATTTCATTTTGCCGAGTGTAGGGTTTGTGTCACAAGGTATCTGATGTAACACGCTATCATTGGAGTAACCACTCCAAGGTCTTGGTAAGAGATATAAAACAAAGTTTTTGAAGGAACAACTTTAACATACTAGCAGATAATGCCCTAAGGGAAACCTAATTCATCAAATAGTAGATCTTAAAACAAATCTATAATATGAATATCATCAAATTAATATATAGCAGAGTGCATAAATCCCAAAAACTATAAAATATTAATTGCCTCTGTTTATAGGCTCCAAAGCTGTACACGATTCATGTACAACTACATGACAACTATTAACCAACTAGATGGCAACATAATTGACAACTAGGATTTTACTCACATAATACTCATCCAACTCAGTGACATCTAAGAGACAATTTATTGGACAACTAGATATCTTCTAGCAATAAAATAACATATGCTATGACATCATAATTCTTGGCAAAGTAACTCTTCCTAAAGCGTGTAGTATAGTGGCAAATCTCACATTGACTCCTTGTTCTTAGTAGCAAAATCGAGATTTAATTGTTGTGCTTGGTAGTTTATGATTTGGTCTTGTTATGTCCCTCGTAGGATTTGTTGGCAATGACGGTGTAGTGATTGCGGAATTGATAGAGGATGTCATATTGAAATCATGCATCGCACAAGATGCAATCCTAGTGTAATCATATACGCCTCCACTATATTTCCATTATGTAAAGTGTACCAACTATTTTAGTTTTTTGTGCTCATTTATTACCTTATTTCTCACCTACTATTGAACTAGACGATATCTAACTTATGAAAACAAAGCTGGTATGTGATTATATAGACTATTCTCATATTTAATTAACCTAGTATTTTTAATGTAATATTCTATAAAGTTGTAGTTGCATAAGGACTATTATGTCATACACCATCTTTTGTACAGCATCGTAAGAACTATAATCCAACATCATAACGATATTACCATGGTCAATCAACACTATGGGTGTTGTCCCAAGGAGGTTCGATAGGTTGGCAAGGTTAGGGTTAGGGTTTGGGATTCGGGATGTTACATGAATCCGGTGGGCTTAGAAGGATTCCTGGGAAAAGGCCGCCTTAGTGGTTGCAAGCGCCAGGCGGGGCGTGGCAAGGGGCGAGGCGACGGTGGCATCGCTAGCTGGGCAGTGAAGGAAGGCGGTTGGGCAGGGCAAGGGTGGGGGCATGATGGAGATATCTCGACAACCTCCACCGGGTTAGCGTGGCGGCGGGGGTCTCAACCGAAGATGAAGAAGACAACAAGGAGGAGGCACATCCAATGGATTTTAGGACCGGGTCGGACCGTGGTGGAGGGTAGCGGATCCAACAGCGAGGGAGCCGCTAGAGCCAAGCAGGGAGGCAAAGGCGAGTGGCTCGTTAGGTTCGGGTTGGAGTTAGGGCCTTAGGGATAGGTGCGTGGAGGAAGAAGACGGAAGAAGATAGAGTGGAGAGAGATTTAATCTCAACCCTCTATTTCATATCTATATAAGCGTAAAAAAAAAATTGACTAATGGCTGCCCTTGAATCACTCAATTGTTATCTAGACAGATCCTTCAAAAAAAAAGTTTAGCAATAGTACTCCACGTTACCGGCTGAAGGGTTTAGTGATAGCACTCTACGTTACTGGTTTAAGCTGCTCAGAAGTAAACTGATAGGCACGGTAGCCATATGGAGCAACTAAAATTTCCCTTCAAGACAAGTATCAAATCACAACATTGCTGGGTCAACACAATTATCTTCCTTTACCTAGAGACTGTAGCGTCTGATCTGGGGCACTCTGATCACGGTTTGGATGGCAAAGATAGATGATATGCAAACAACAGTGCCTTGCAGACTTCTCAATAGACCGATCAAATTTGGATTATTATCAGATGATGAAAGCAGGTTAACATAACTTGGAAAATAGATCTTTCAGTAATCAAGGCATTAACGACAGCATATGCAGCAACTACATCGAAGTGGCCATGCCAAGGTCCAGAACAAATAACAGTTGCAAAATGCAAATGCTAGCTAGTTCTTGGACGCATTGCTCTCCAGCTCTTTCCTCAGCTGCAGCGAGAAGTCATCATTGACATCGTCATCATCCCAGTCATCCTCCCATTGCTGAAGTGCTTCATTGCCTTCTTCCTTGTCATCCCACTCTGTAATTCAGAAGTTAGTATCAGACTGGTATTTAGGTAATGCAAGCATTATTTTTGTCTGTAATAGTTTGATAAACAAGTTTCATATCTTGTCGAATTGAACAGGTCATTACATTACACAACCAAAAGAAACAACGGTATTACAAAGAGGAAACTAAAAAAACAAGATTATCCAAATGAGTCATGATGAACAGATTAATTAGGAAACAATACCAGAACACTCAAATGCAACATCAATGTTGTGATGTCTTCTAAGCTTCTAATGCAAAGCAAGCATAAATGGATCTGGGACTTGATCTAGCATATAGGCATGCACAGATTGTCTTAAATAAAATAAGGGATTTTTAAGCACAAAAAATGGGCTGAATGCACCCATGGCAGTAACGTGTCGTGCATATAGTAACCAATCCCTCTATGAACATTTATGGACCGCACAAACAAAACATGATGCAAATCAATCTAGAAAAACACTATCTCGGTATAAGAACTGTTAGTTTGCGTTGATGTTGCCACAGAAACTCACTGTCATAGTTTTTCCTAAAGGCCACATTATTATTGTTCTTGGGGTGAGCAATTGATAAATGATGAATCTAGTAATTCATACAGATAAAGAAACCATAATTCAAGTTCAAACTGACTCAACATGATAGCCCAAATGTCATCTATAGTGAAATATCTCAGGTTGTGGATAGAATTTCATGACATGGCACAGCAGACAAATGTTTTTATACATTTGTCAGTGCAGAAAGAGCAAACCCACCTGAAATCATCAATTTTGGAGCAGCCGGTTAGCCACAAATGTTAGCTACTTTACAGAAAGATAAGACTCCGGTCCACAAGATAAACAAGACCTGAATGCCCAGAGCGTGTACCAACGAAGCACAAGCAACGGACAATAGTTTGGGCACAACCCTATATCGCACAAGTGACAGTAACAGATAATAGTTTCACAACCCTATCACACAAAAACCCCTGGGCTAATATGTCACGAACCCTAGCCAGATCTCGACACCGGCGCCACCAAACAGATGACCAAGAACAACAGGGGATTGGGCGAGGAATGATACCTTGATCTATCTCAAACTCCTCGAACTCGTCGTCGTCCTCGAGCAGGTCCATCTTAGCTTCCTCCGTCACCTCGGGCTTCGCTGGTTCCGCCATCGGGACTCGCAACACTAATTGGATCAGATCAGATACGGTTACAAATAATTAGGGTTTGGGTGCTCGGTTTCGCACAGCAGGAACGGAAGAGATGGGATGGGCGTACCTGGTGCGTGCTCGTCGCCGGTGAAGGCCCCGAGCCGGCGGTCGCGTAGTCGTCGCCGATATAGAGACACAAGGCACGCGGAAGACACGGGAGAACCACGATGCGTGGGGGTTGGGCTTGGGGGCCGGGCCGCAAGATATTAAAGGGCCGGGCCGGTACTGCTCGTGCTCTAGTAGGATTCGTAACTCAAACGTATATTATTATTACTCCTCCTGTTGCTCAAAAAAAAAAAAAAAAAAACTCCTCCGAGGCAATGCCATGACTCGAGTCCGTCCCGGAGGCATGCCGACACGACATCCTTCCACCCACAGCTTTTACATCTTCGTCCAACCGACGCGACTTCTAATCTAACCCAAACCAAAAATTAACAAGCGAATTGTTGTCTATGTGATCTCATTGACTGGCCCTCGCGGCCTCGCATCATCAGTTGTTGGTTATGGAATATGGATCACCAATTAATGTTGATAGCTAGGATTGACTAGCCCCGTCGCATAATAACATGATAGCTAGGATTGACCAGCCCCAGTGGCGGAGCTCGGACAGAAATTTAGGTGGGGCGCACCGCGGACACAGCTTTTTAATGACATCGCAAAGTCTCAATTACCACGTGTCAAATAAATTGCTAAATGGCTAAATCTCAATTATATACAGTTTGATTATTGGTAGATACCTCTTGTTACAAACTTTTTCTTGCCAATTGCAGAACAGGCATGGCTGTTGGAGGCGCCTGTGCTCCCTCTCCTACAGCTTCTAGCTGCTGGCTCCCAGCGCCACTAACTTACCCCGGCCACGTCCGTGCCCAGCACCAGCTGCGCCTCTTGTCTGCTCGCCGCGACCATCCCCCACCCCCAAATCCTCCTCCTCCATGGTTGCGGCCTGTCTGGCTGCCGGCGCAGTGTGCTTGGCGCGCAGCGTGCGGCATGGCTGCGGGCTTGTCACACCCCGTGACCACCGGTGGTGAGGACCGGGACGTGAGTAAGATGAGGATGCTCTCATCGGTAGGTTCCCGTGGCCATCGACGAAGATCGCCGGGACGTGAGAAGATTCGCCGTCGTGGAAGACGAGCAGGGCAACACCCGATTCAATTTTCTGATCCCCTCTACTCTGGCCCTTCTCTGGCTTATATGCCTTCCTTCACATAATCTTACATGTGGGGCCCTTTTGCGTATAGACCATGTCTATGGGTGTTACAGGGCTGTGGTGAGCGGCGCGGCTACAGCTTCGGCAAGCGGCGCCGCGGCAATAGCTGCCGCTAGGACCTCGGGCATGGCCGCACTCGTGAGTAGTGAGCGTGGTGGATGGGGCGACGGGCGAAGGCAGTACGCAGACTAGCGATCAGCTGGATGGGGCACTATCCACTTGGGCCGACTGGGCTATTGGGCCTTTTTATCTTCCCTCAATCGTTTTCTCTCACACACTCGTCTTTCAGCTGCCGAACGCCGCCGCTCGCCTGCTGCTTCGCTCGGCCGGAAGTGAGGAAGACAGAGGGATACTAGGAGCTCTCCTCCGGTGGTAGGTGGGGCAGCTGCCCCACCCTGCCGCATGGGGAGCTCCGCCTCTGTCTAGCCCCGAACATAGCCTGGCTCTCGAATCATCCAACACAAGCATCAACAGGCCCACCATCGTTTTTATGGTTGGTGGAATATAATTTTTTTATAAAGACTAATATATAATAAAATAAAATGAGCATATTGCAAAATTTTGGAAGGATAGCTCCCAAGAAAAACATGTCTACCTCCCAAGAAAATAAAATGAGCCAGCACAGTGTTAGCGGCACCAGTCATGTTCCAGAGGATGAAGCACCTGCACCGGGCTCACCACCAGGCTCGCCCTCGACAAGGCCCAAAAGGAGCAGAAGGCCTAGCACTCGCGTAGTCGGCCCGGCCTAGATCAACAAGTGACACAGAGAGTATAAGTAGGAGAGAATGAGACATGAAGGATATGAACAGAAATTGTAAAACCCTATTCACAATTTTAAGCACTCATCTACACTCTATTATTGTTGTTCTTCCTATTTTTCCCCTTTCTTCCCCCAACCACAGTTCCGATGCTAACAAATTGGTATCAGACGTCGCGTTCCCCAAATCCTGGCCATCCCAACACCTCCACCACCACCCCAACTCCACATCACAACTATACCCGGCTCAATCGCGCTCGCGGCGCCATGGAGCCTTCGCTGAAGCAAATCCTCGACGCACTCAACTCCCGATTTGACGAGTTCGACCGCCATCTCGACGACCGTGACCGCATCTTCGCCGACCGCACCGGCACCGTCGACTCCCGCTTCATCACATGGACCTCTCGCCCCACTCAGGCTACCGGGCTCGAGCAGCGTCTAGCGGGGATCAAGTCCCGTCTGCCAGATCCGACGACCCCGTCCATCGAGCAGCACCTCATGAACCTCAAAGCCTCCCACGTCGATTGCCACGCTGATTACACCCAGCGTCTGGTGAATTTGGAGTCCGACCGTGCCCCCAACATCAAGGAGGAGTGCGACCCACGGGTGGTGGCGCTCGAGAAGGCCACGGCGGATCTCATTGCGTGGTGTCCGGACATGGAGGGCGTACTGGACGACATCCACAAGGACATCCACAAACAGGTGAAGAACCTTGACCGCCAGGTGTTCGACGAAATGTCCCACCGCCCGGTCTAGTTCGCTTCACCAACAACGACGACTGCGCCTGCTGCTGCTATGGCCGGTCCATCCGTCACATCGCCCAACGGGCACTACGCCGACATGAATCCATGGGATGTTGGGTCTGGAGTCGTTACAACTTGGATCCATATCCCGGCCAATGGTACATTCCCTGATAATCCTTCTCGTGTTCATGCATCGGCTTTCCGACCACCACCAGTGATTGCTCCACCACGTCCTACTCCTAAACCCGTTCATCACCCTCCACCCAATGTGTTCCGTCTGCCTCCACCGCCACCACTGCCTATGTTTTTGCATCCACGCCCACCACCCAACCCACCTTACCCACCACCACCTATTCCTCCACCCTATCCTGATTCTCATCATCCCAATCCTTTGGCCAGCCATCTTCCCAAACTTCCATTCCCAACGTTCGACTGCGTCAACCCCAAGCGTTGGCGTTCTCGCTGCAAAAAGTAATTCGCCATGTACACTGTCAACCCCTACCTTTGGATTGGGCTCGTTGAACACTACATGGAAGGCCCTGCCGCTATCTGGTACCAATCCATTCCACCTAGTTGCCCACGGCAACCTGGGATTCATTCTGTCGCCTGCTGCACGACCATTTCGATCGTGATCAGCATGGTCTCTACTGTGCCAAATGTTCAATATCAGGCAACAAATCATTGTTTCCGCCTATGTCACTGCCTTCACCGAGTTAGTGGATTAGCTGAAATCCTATTCTCTCAATTATGACCCACTCTTTTTCACTACTCACTTCATCGATGGCCTACGTTATGATATTAAAGAAATTGTACTCGTTTAGCGCCCCCAAAACTTCGATGCTGTTGTGCGTTTGGCATTATTGCAGGAGGAGGTGGGAATCTTCTAATCAGCGAGCACCACAAGGAGGTGATTGTCCTATGGCGTTCAAGCCCCGACTGTCGGCTGCTGCCGCTCCACTGCCACTACCTCCTCCTCCACCGTGCAATGACAGGCCGGCAGACATGCAGGCTGCTCCGGCTGTTCCTGCTACGGTGAATGCTCCACCAACAAATCAAACACTAGCGGCAGTCAAGGCCTACAGGCATGCACTCGGTCTGTGCTACAAGTGCAACTCAAAGTGGAGTAAGGACCATGTCTGTGCCCCAAAAATATTGCATGTTGTTGAAGCGTTGTGGGATTCTATATCTTCGGATGATTCGTTGGCTGACTCGACAAAGGATTTTCCAACCACTAAACAATGTTGTTTAGCTCGGTCAAAATCTATTATTTCTAGGGTGCTAGCTTCTCGCACAATCTATTTCTAGGGCCTCTTGCAGTCGGTTCCTGTGCAAATATTGGTGGATTCAGGCAGTTCATCCTCTTTTGTGAATGCAGCCTTGGTGCCTCAATTGAAGAATATTGTGTCAGTGCCTCTTCACAGTTCAGGACAAGTTGCTGGTGGCGCTCAGCTCACGAGTCCTTCAATACTCCTTCAGGTGCCTTGGTCGGTCGCAAACTGTTCTTTTCAAACTGACTTCACAGTGTTACCCTTGGGCTTGTTTGATGTTGTGGTGGGAATGGATTGGCTAGTAGCATAAAGCCCCATGCAGATCCATTGGCAAGACAAATGGATGGCGATCCCGTGTAACGGCCAACTCACTGTGTTACAAGGTCTGACGATGTCTGTGCCACAATAATTGCTCCTCCATATTGCTGCTATTGATACTACTGAGACTGCTGAGTCTGATTCCACACCTCAGTTAGATAATCTACTGCTACCTTATGTGAACACAGCAAGGGAAGGGCGGCCGAAAGGCCCCTCATTTGTGATCTTGTAGCTGCTTCTAGTCTGCGTAGGCCCAGACGGCTCACCTGCAACCTTCAGAGCCACATGCGAGAGGCCAGCGTGAGTCGAGTCATGTGTATGTTATCTAGTCACTATTGCAGCAGGGTAGCTATACTGGGACTAGATGGATAGAGTTGTATAAATAGACTACCACGGCAACTCAGTAAAGAGAGTTCAGATTTGCCATCTCCCAGACAGGGCTTCGGCCAACGTTGGTGTCTTGTACTATGTGTGCATGCTCTATTCTCCCTTCTTCTTCAAGCTCTAGCCATAGTGCGTGGGGACAGACAACGCTTGTTCGTGGTCGGCACGGCTAGTGGGTGCTCGGCAACACTAGCGGGTGCTCGGCAAGACTAGTGAGTGGTTCACTGACCTGAGCCAGTGATCCTGTGGGCCAACAAGTGGTATCGGAGCCGTACAAGCGCCGTCACTAGACTAACCGCTGACGATGACGGGTGGTTTGGAGATGGGCGATAGTAGTGGCACTACTGTGGCTGCCCAGCCACGACCGGAGGTCGTTCTTCGCATGGTGCGGGAGGTCAGCGTCACTAGTTGGCCGACGCTGACTCGCACCAACTATGGAGAGTGGTCGGTGACCATGAAGGTCAAGCTCAAAGCCCGACGGCTCTAGAATGATGTTGACAAGGGCACCAACAATGAAGAAGATGACATGTCAGCGTTGGAGGCTATCCTCGCTGCTGTACCAGCGAAGTACAGGGAGCTGTTGGGGGTGAAGAGCTCGGCTAAGGAGGCGTGGGAGGCTATTGCGGCGATGCGCGTCGGTTCCAACCGCGCAAAGAAGGCGACGGCCCAGCTTCTGAAGCAGGAGTACGCCAACCTCAAGTTCAAGGATGGTGAAACGGTGGAGGACTTCTCCCTCCGCCTGTAGACGCTCATCAGCAAGATGAAGAGCCACGACGTCACCATCGACAAAGAGGAGGCGGTCTCCAAGTACCTCCACTCCATGCCGGCAAAGTACATCCAGATCGCTCTCCATAGAGACGATGCTGGACTTGTCCACCCTCACCATTGAGGATGTGACCGGGCGTCTGCGGGCGATGGACGAGCGCCTGGAGCAGGCGACAGCAACAAAGGACAGCGGCAAACTGCTGCTGATGGAAGAAAAGTGGGTTGCTCGGAGGAACAACGAGAAGGCAGCCTCCTCCAGCCGTGGTGGTGACGGCAAGCACCGCGACAAGGCTTCTTCAGAGAAGAAGCAAGTCGACCCCAACGCCTATCGGCACTGCGGGAAGATGGGCCATTGGGCACGGGAGTGCCCAAATCGCAAGCAGGATAAGAAAGCTGAGGCTCATCTGGCGTAAGCTGATGATGAGGATGAGGCCACTATCCTAATGGCGACGTTCTGTGCACTGCACGACATCAAGGCCAAGGAGAGGGAAG